CAGCTCCTAAAGCGGTGGGAGGTGAGTGGATCAGCTCACCAGCAAGTGGTCAAAGACCGAAAATCCCATTCACTGCATCCATGTTTTCCTCGTGCCAGGCCACGAGTTCCCAATTAACTGTGGGTCGCTGTACAAACGATGTCAAAAAAATACCCGACAGGGTAGTCGTGCTACCCGGATAGAAATACCGTCTTTCCCCGTTTATAAGTCGCACTCGATTATAAGTCGCACCCCCACTTTCAAGTTTGAGCATTGTTGATTTGATATATTGACTTCAGTAGTAAGTCTCGCTCGATTGAAAGTCGCACCCCTTTTTTACCCTTGAATTTTAGTGTAAAAAGGTGCGACTTATATTGGGGAAAATTTGGTACCCAAAGTCGTTACGCGACCAAACCCCTACCCATTGCAACCCTACTGGGAATACCACTCCTTTGTCCGTGTTGTACTGGTCCCCCTGTAGGACAGGAGCTTCTCCTATCAGAGTGGTTGCGTTGACAGTTTTTTTACTGTGCTCTCATGCCGCTGTGTTGTGTTGTCACGATTGTTGTTGCAGGTTTTAAGCACTGCGCCAGACACCAAGCTGGATGTCATGCTGGAGCATTTTAAGCGCGGCTTGTCACACATGGCACTGGTCCAGGATCCTTGCAACAATTCTGAAAGAGACCCATACGATGTCACTGTCGGTGAGTGTGTCTGTCTGTCTTTGTGTGTGTGTGTGTGTGTGTGTGTGTGTGTGTCTCGCTCTCTCTCTCTTTCTCTTTCTCTCTCCCCTTCTCCCTCTCTCTCTCTCTCTCTCTCTCTCTCTCTCTCTCTCTCTCTCTCTCTCTCTCTCTCTCTCTCTCTCTCTCTCTCTCTCTCTCTCTCTCTCTCTCTCTCTCTCTCTCTCTCTCTCTCTCTCTCTCTCTCTCTCTCTCTCTCTCTCTCTCTCTCTCTCTCTCTCTGTCTCTCTCTCTCTCTTTCTCTCTCTCTCTCTCTCCCCTCCCTCCCTCCTCTCTCTCTCCCCCTCTCTCTCTCTCTCTCTCTCTCTCTCTCTCTCTCTCTCTCTCTCTCTCTCTCTCTCCTCTCTCTCTCTCTCTCTCTCTCTCTCTCTCTCTCTCTCTCTCTCTCTCTCTCTCTCTCTCTCTCTCTCTCTCTTCTCTCTCTCTCTCTCTCTCTCTCTCTTCTCTCTCTCTCTCTCTCTCTCTCTCTCTCTCTCTCTCTCTCTCTCTCTCTCTCTCTCTCTCTCTCTCTCTCTCTCTCTCTCTCTCTCTCTCTCTCTCTCTCTCTCTCTCTCTCTCTCTCTCTCTCTTCTCTCTCTCTCTCTCTTTCTCTCTCTCTCCCTTTTTTATTTTTTCTGGTTCTGGTTGTCGCAGTAGCGACTTTGGTTTGTCGAATCTTCATTCTCTTGATGTTGCTGCTGCCACTGCTGCTGTTGTTCTTGATGTTGCTGCTGCTGTTTGAAACCTTATATTCTCACAATGGCCTGTGGCCAATAGATGAAGAAGAAACACAGGTACAGGGGATCGGATAAAGAGATATCTAAATTTTGTGGCGTGCTAAAATAGTAGCCATGCTAATGAAGAGCTGCACCTGCGCCTTGATCCAAGAGGGTGGTGACGTTCCTGCGGATGTGGAAAACTCGGCGGGAACCGTGAAATATTTTTATGAAGAGTGTTGTTGTTGTTGTTGTTGTTGTTGTTGTTGTTTTGAATTCTTCATTCTCACGATGGCACCATCGCCAATAAGAGATAAATTTATGAGAAGGTTAGATTGTGGGTTAAACAGTTGGAAAGTGATTTACATCACTTTGAACTTTACAAGTATGGGAGAGGGTGAGCGCTGCAGGAGCAGATTGAGTTAATCAGCAGTGAGCAGATTGTTGTTGTTGTTGTTGTTGTTGTTGTTGTTGTTGTTGTTGTTGTTGTTGTTGTGCAGGGATTGTGACACTACAGGACATTATTGAAGAAATCATCAAAACAGAATTTCCTGTTGAGACTGCTGTTGTGAGTGATAACAGTCCCAAGGAACCGGGGCAGAGGAAACCCAGGGAGAATGCTGATGTGAAGGTAGGCTGTGCTGATGTGTGTGTGTGTGTGCGCGCGTGTGTGTGTGTGTGTGCGCGCGCGCACACGCGTGTGTTTGTGTCTGGGTGTCTGTGTGGGTGTAATGGTGGGAGAGTGGATAAGTATAATTTGGAATGGATGGTGGATGTAATTCCTGCTGAGTGGGTCGGTGAAGGTGTGCGTGAGGCTTTGTGCGTGCATGTACCCACGTGTAAGGTGGAGGTACGTGTGTAGGCATGAACGTATATGCCTTGTTATTTATTTCATCGTGTGTAATTCTCATTAGGGTGCCTCAACTCACAAACACAGTACAGTCAGTGTATTTGCTGCTTGCGTCATCAGCTGTTCAACGTCATCAACTGTTAGTGAACAGTTGATGACGTATGCGGCAAAGAGACTATGTTTTGAGTGTTTAAGTTGAGATACCCGAATGTGTAAATGGATGCAGTGGAGTCTGCTCTCATCTCTGTTGTTCTGTTCTCTTATAGAGGGTGGTGGCGTTTCTACGAATGCGGAAAACTCGGCCTTCAGACGAGTCTAACGTGAAATGTGATTTTTTTAAATTTGTTGTTCTGTTCTCTGCTGCATGCCGCTGCTGCTGCTGATGGCGTTTGCTTTGCCCAGCTACTTGAGGTGGAGAAGTCTGCGAGTTTCTCCGTGTTCAAGACGGTCGAGGGCATGCTCCTACCCGAAGGTACATGGCCACGTTGCGGGCCTAATTCTGCATTGGCCGCTGTGCACATGGGGGGGGGGGGGGTCAAGCCCGTCTCCTGGGGGTTCCGGACATACCGTGGAGTCCCGATTCCCGGCACCCCTCAAGGACGGACAGCCATCTCCAGAGTGTTGCTTCTTTTGCTGCTGATGCTGCTGCTGATGCTGCTGCTGCTGCTGCTGCTGCTGCTGATGATGATGATGATGATTTTGATAAAAAACGATTCGAAGCCTCTCAATTATTTTGTAATACTTGATGTATAGATATAAGAATAATAACAACAGCTAGTTATACCTTCACACAAAACAAGCTCGGTGCAGCACCAATCACGGCAGGGGAACCCGACCCTCCACCATCGCCAGCTCACGAAGCATGTGAACTGGACGGTGACGGGCCGACCGAGCACCCCTGGCACACAACACAGCGGAACGTAGCAGCGCGAAAGACACCCGACAGCGATAGTAACCCATCAACGACGAATAGCTACCTCCCGAAGATTGAGATGTAAGGAGGCAAAGGCGGCTGAGGAAGGCCGTGGATGCCGGCGCAGCAGCCCCATTTACGGAAAACACCAAAGGTGCAAAGGCACCACGCTTAACATTCACTACTCTCTCCTGATATTGAAGTCTCTTAGCGCCCTCATGCTGTCGGAAGACCGCGTCCAGGCTTCTGGACGCATAGGAAGAAGCGTCAGGATTAAACACCCTTACATCAAAAAATGCATCTTGCCCACGCGTCCAGAAACCTCGAGCGCTCACATCAAGGCGAGCCTCGACAGAGGTGTTCGCCGACCTGGCCTGAAAAACCTCACCCTCGATAGGGGCGAGAGGTGGCTCTACAGAAACACTGGAGCAAACCTCGGTTAAGGCAACAGCGAACAGGTCTCGTAGTTCATTGTGTCGAATAGTTGGGGATCCACCAAAAGAACAATTCAAAGCATGGCTAGTGGAAAAACCCGCCCCACAAGCATATAGCAGGGGTGTCACGCAGCGGCCAGTCATAGCGTAACGCAATGGCATCGCGAAAGTCTCCCTTGGATAATTCAAAACCATGCTCAGCAATAGGGAGCGCCGACAGCCAGGATGAAACACCTGGGCGACCCAGTTCTTCCACGCGACGATTAACTTCCAAAGACAGGTGCGATTGAAGAGCACGCAAGCGCTCTGCCTGTCGCTCACGCGCCACTTTACGACACTCCCGCTTGGCGCAAGCTACGGCGGATAAAACTCTATCAACCTCATCCGGACCATCATGACCATGATGATGATGATGATGATGATCTCTTGCCTCTCTCTTTGTAGAGAGAAGCCAGGATCTCAAATATCCTGTTGTCATGGGTATGTTGCGTACCCGCCTGTCGTTTTGCCTCTTGAGGTGGGCCATTGCTAGGCCTCCGCGGAATGTGCCGGCATAATTTCGGGAATTATCGGTGTGATTTTTAAAACGGGAATTATTGGCAATTTTTGTGGAATAATCGGTAAAATTTGAGCAATGCCCCCCTTTATTCAACATTTTTCCATTTATAACACCCTCATTTGTACCAAAAAGCTTGTGATCCTGAAGTTGATCGCCCGGTATTTCAAAAAAGAAAGAAAAAACTTCCAGCCAAGTTTCACGTGAACCGTGATTTTATTGCCCGTACAAGTGGCAAAAACACCTGTACGCGGTACGGTATCTGCAAAAAAAGGGAAGAAAAAAGCATTATTCCCGTAGCTATGCAGAAGACGTTGCTTCAGTAACGTCTGGCGCTAGCCAGGGTCCACACAGCTTTAATTTGGTATTTGTTTGTGTGTTTGTTCGTTTGTTTGTTTGTGTCACGCCTGGCGCTATCCTGTATCTGTCCCGTATCTGTGACTACAAAGGCTTAGGCGGTGTTTACATGAGGCGTTTCAACCCGGGTTGAGTTCGACCCGGGTCAGATTTCAACCCGCCATGTGCATAAAATGAATGGCGCGTTTACATGACGCATTGCGCTTGACCCGGGCTGAAATTTCGCCCCGGGTTGATTTCAACCCTCCCCCCAAGGGGAGGGTTGAAATCAACCCGGGTCAAGAAAATCGTACAAACGTATTTCTGTGCGTATCTCGCGCCAGGTTTGAACGGCACTGCAGATGCAAATTTCGCGCGAACGGATTCACGTGACCATACTGGACTGTAGAAGTGGACTTTTGGCGGCATATCAGTATTTGACCCGGGTCAACTGTCTTCATGTAAACGCTCACCTCTTTTGTCTGTCGTACAGACTTTCAACCCGGGCTGAACTCGACCCGGGTTGAAATTTCTCATGTAAACACAGCCTAACAGGATTGTACATAACAGCTGGCCACAATATCTGCTGGCTCCCGTATCTGTCCCGTAGCTGGCCACAAACAGCTGGCCACAATATTCGTATGTATATGTATACGACTCCCTGATGTAGAGGGAGATTTGGTAAGAAATAGGGAGACGAGGAGGAAATAAAATTAGAATGGATTAGTTACGGAATAGGTGATAGGATGCGTCAGCAAAAACATACTTTGGAAGAGAGATCCCTCCGTCTTCAAAATAAGCGTGAACGGGCGATTCAGCGCCGGTCACAGGAAACGTCGGAGGAGAGATCCCGTCGACTCCAGAACGCCCGTGATCGGCAGAGTCAGCGCCGGTCCCAGGAAAGGCCGGAAGAGACATCCCGTCGAGTCCAGAACGCCCGTGATCGGCAGAGTCAGCGCCGGTCCCAGGAAACGTCAGGACAGACATCCCGTGAACGGGCGATTCAGCGCCGGTCACAGGAAACGTCGGAGGAGAGATCCCGTCGACTCCAGAACGCCCGTGATCGGCAGAGTCAGCGCCGGTCCCAGGAAACGCCGGAAGAGACATCCCGTCGAGTCCAGAACGCCCGTGATCGGCAGAGTCAGCGCCGGTCCCAGGAAACGTCAGGACAGACATCCCGTCGAGTCCAGAACGCCCGTGATCGGCAGAGTCAGCGCCGGTCCCAGGAAACGTCAGGACAGACATCCCGTCGACTCCAGAATGCCCGTGATCGGCAGAGTCAGCGCCGGTCCCAGGAAACGTCAGGACAGACATCCCGTCGACTCCAAAATAAGCGGGAACGGGTGATTCAGCGCCGGTCACAGGAAACGTCGGAAGAGATATCCCGTCGAGTCCAGAACGCCCGTGATCGGCAGAGTCAGTGCCGGTCCCAGGAAACGTCAGGACAGACATCCCGTCGACTCCAGAACGCCCGTGATCGGCAGAGTCAGCGCCTGTCACAGGAAACGTCGGACGACACAAATGCAAGAAATGAGCATAGGAGGCTTGATCGTGCTGATTCGCGTCGTGTTTCTGCAGCTGCGCACATGGAAACTGTGCGGTCTATGGTAGAGGAAATAAATCATGCAATGGTGTGCTCTTTGACGCGTGAAGAGTGCCAGCAGTATAGCCACCTATTGCAATATTGCAGGGAAGATAACGTTGACGTAGCTCTGCTTTACTTTTATGCTGCCTCAGGTCATGGTCGTGGACCGTCTCGGACAGTACCTGATTCTTCTGTGAGAAAAGAACTGGCATCCATTATTCCAGCACCAGTTTCTACAGCCCTGCTAGCTGATCGTCTGGAAGCGTTCCAAGCGGAGTATAATTTAGAGAATGTTTGCCTGTGCGCTGCGTGTGGCTGCCGTGATATGGTGAAGTCACACAAGTATCGACTTCAGGACGAGGCGTTTATGAAATGCCTTCGACTGGATGATTCAGCCGCCGAAATGTACGAGCAGAGGCCAGAGATAGTAAGGGAAGTGATGAATGTATATCGCTCCCCTTCAGATGGAAATCTGTGCCACCTTCTCCCCGATCATTTAAATCAGGTTGAAGATGGTGCCACTGAAGTTATCATGTGTGCCGCTTGTAGCTCTACCTTGAAGAAGGGAATTGTGCCAAAATGTAGCTTGGCTAGTGGGTACGATTTCGGGAGGTTGGACATGCTGGAACCGTTGTCATTACTCGAGAAGATTGTGGTGTCGCCGTATCGAACGTTCGCAACTATTCTCAAGTTGAAACCTTCTCGTGGAGCCGCTGGAAGATCATCTCAGAGTTTCCTGGAGGGTCATGCAGTGATGTTCCGTCACGATGCTGTCGAGGCGACTGTTGCCATGTTTCCAAGGCACAGGTTCGTTTAAAATTTGAAATGCAACTTTTTTTATTAGTTTGTGCAGTTCGTTGGTAGTTGTGAGGTATGTAGTAGGTTTTTGACGATGTTTAAATTTGGTTCAAAAAGGTTTTTAACTATATATTTGTTTCGATTGTTTTGCTATGATTATAGGCTCGAAGATATATCTGAAGACTTTTCGATTATGTTCCTAGGATCTAGTGTACAATGGCGACAAAGGCGGTCTGACATACTAAGATGGGACGACCCGCACAGTGGTCTTCTGGCGTGTAGTGGGCGCAAGATAATGCAATGGCTCCGTGTGATGAGAGCTGCTGACCACTGCGCATATCGCCATTTGCCGGAAGATGCATTCAACTTGTCGTCGAGCATTATAGACGCTTTGGAGATTCTGCCAGAATTACTTGTGGACAATGCTCATTGCGCGGACAGTGCAATCGCAGCGGCGATAGACGACTACGGGCGCGCGCGATGACACAGCCAATGTAAGACCACATGGTGACGTGACTGATTTCGACGACACCTTGGGATTACCAGCTGTGGACGGTGTGCAGTCTGTTATGCTGACTTCTCGAGCCATGCAGCATGATGCTAGCGTGACATCTGAAGTGTTCAAAGTGTTAGAAAACACTGTTAATGGCACGGATGGTGAAGCTCAGGAGCCAGTGACAACAGATGGCACGTACCGGAATGCATCTTCTCAAACACGGAGGGACAGGTTATTGGAAGTCACCATCAGGACGGATACTAGTGAGATGATTAATGAATTTACTCACAACGCGTTCCTGTTAGGTTTCCCATACCTGTTCCCGCTGGGCATAGGAGAAAAAGATATTATGTCAACATCTATATCCAAAAGAGTTATGATGTGGCATGATGGTCGTTTCGGCAGGGACAACCGATTTTTGTTCTATCTATATGACCGAATTCGTCGTTGGAATGCTGCGCTCGGTGTTCATTTGAAGGTCAAAAATGATAGAGAGTCGGTTGATAAATTCAACCGGTTGATTTTGGATCCGTCAATCTCCGATAGAGTCACGCAAGCTGCAGCAAACCCGGCCAATAGAGACGCTAGATTGTTGATGAATTTACTGAAGCCGCTGTTGGTCGTGTCTGGAAGACGTGTTCCATTTGGTCCAGCCGAGAGGAACGACTCTATCAGCAAGATGTGCGCGATGGTGCATTATGCAGGGCTGCCAATTTGGTTCTGGACAGTGTCTCCAAGTGATATTGATAGCACGCCAGCCCTTCGTATTGCGGGTATTGAAGTGGAGTTTCAGTTGCCATCCCTGCAAGAACGCACAAACATCATTGCAGCCAATCCGGTTGCTGCAGCGCGAGGGTTTCAAGCGTTGATCAACTCTGTATTGCGGTGTTTATTTAATCAAGAACCGCAAGAGTCAACGCGTACATCGACGCTCCCTGGTCTACAAGAATGGGAATGTCTAATGTGTGGGGGAGAGTGCCTGGGTTACTTTGCGGTGACTGAAACCCAAGGTCGTGGTTCTCTGCATATGCATGATCAGTGGAAAAGTTCAGCAGTGCGGTGTAGGGCAGCAGCCGTGATAACAGACATGTATGTGGTCCATGCCTCGAGCCGGGTAGCTACATGTATAATTATCGTGAACCTTGCGACGCACCTGCTTCGCGTCATCCGACTCAACGATATTTAGCTGGCTATCGTTATTCGGGCTGTGCACCAGCCGGAATGTTGGGCCGGAAGTGTGCAAGACTTTCAGGCTTGAAAAATCTACGAACTCCCCTCGCAAGATACGTTCTTGCACAGCCTTGGGCACAGCTGGTGCAGGTGGTTGATCGGGTGGGTTACAGGAGATTGGCCTTGCGTAGTGGCGGCAGCAGCCGCATTGCCTTGGCCTTGGGTGAGGAGCGGCACAATGCTCTCCGATAATAATATAATGGCGGCCGACAAAGCCGACTACACCTTGTCCCGTACGAGAGCGCAGAGGTCCGTTGAGCCCGCGTCACCTGAGCTGGCGGAGGAGGCATTGGTGCAAGTCGGGCTTCTGGGCTCGCGAGCCGTGTCCGCACTGTCATGTTGCTGGTTCTCCTGGCCGGAGCATACCTCACTACCAAGGGCTGGCTGTGGCAGCAAACGGTCCTGTAAAATACTTTTACTCAGTTTCCTTTCGGATTCAAGCCGCGCTGAGAAGGCTCGCTGCGGAGGGCTTGGCAAGGCATTGCCTTGACAGTGTCGACAGTTAGGTCAGACGTACTGAAGAAATACAGTGTCGAGGTGACACTCGGGCTGGCAGCAAAGCTACGAAAGGAAAGCGGAAACACTGCTGAAGCGCGATCCGTTGTCTGGAAGAGCACAACAGGGCAAGCAAGATTTGTTTTTCTTTTCCGCAAAATGGGCTGGTGCCATTTGTGATTACGCAGCAAACAAAGCGCATGACGTCAGTCTTGAATGCAGTACAAAGCAATGCAGTGCAGTGTGTGCGCTAGTTCGGATTGTTGCTAACAAGTACTAGCACAGCTAGTACACCATTATCGATTAAGCACCACTGACGACAAAACTCACCATTTTGCATCAACTACAATCAATTTTGAAACTTCAAAGAGAACAAAAATAGTGGAAACATCGACTGCGCACGTGCACAGGCACAAACTGATTCTGAAGGCTACTTGTCCAGCACAGTGAGTTCCGTGAAGCAACCGGAACGGAAGTTCGCAGGTACGAATCAGTGCGCGGTGCAGAGAAAAGAGCCGGGTGTCACACAATAGATCTAGAGTACATCAGGTAGATCTACCGGGTACGCGTGGAGTGTGTATCCAGAGCATGAGCAACTCGCTGTGCGTGCTGCACTCGTTGATTGACACCTCCGCGCTCCGTGCACGCTCGAATCGACTCGTACTCTGGTACATGTGCTGCACGCAGTAGAGTCATGTAGACACACTGCACCTGCCGGATATTTCGTCGTACCGTATAGTATGTTGTACGAAAATGCTGTAGCGACTAGAAAAATCGTAATCGACTAGATTTTTTCGACTAATTAATCGACTAAACCACATAATCCTTTCACCCCTAGTGCGGACCTGTTCACTCTTCCATATTTTTCTTGCATAATGTCTGTGCGGTGTGTAAGAACCCTCGGCGGCTCGGATCCCAATGTTGTGTTATGTGTTGCGTTTTTCTCTATTGGCTTCGACTTTGCGTGGTGCACAGAAGCACCACTCCTCAGATACAGCAACCCCCGCGACCGCCGCTCAACCAGAAAGCGGACCAGAACGTAAACCACCCACCCATCCCCGTCTGTCGCCAGAGGATGCTCGCCGCACCATCCAACGGCGCCGCAACATCCCGCAAGCCCGCTCTGTAGCTAGGTCACGGCGACGGGCAGCAGTCCGTCTCAAGCAGCGGGCCCGGGTGGTCCCTCCCCCGCCACCGGTAAACCCGTCGGCCAGGTTCGACCAGTTGGGTCAAGAACCCGAACTGGTCTCCGAGGCCGAATGGTGGGATTAAAGGTAGAGTATTCATTTTGTGCATGTGGGTGTATGCCGAATGTGTGCGTGTAGGTCTATGTATGTGCGTGTAGGTCTATATATGTGCGTGTAGGTCTATATATGTGCGTGGTTGTGTACATGTGTGTTTGTTACAATTTACAATTTGTTCAAAGACTAATTATTTTTATTCCATATTTGGATCACTCACCTGCATGCGTTAGTTTATACACATCTCATAACCCCCATATTTGTCCCATTTTCCCACTACCCCTGCATGCAATAGTTTATACACATTTCATAACCCCTCAATGTGCGGACAGAACTGTTTCGTCCTTCGTATCCTATTTTTATCGCTCTCTTTTTTCTCCTTATTTTCCCCCAACCCTCCTTCCCTGTAACATAATAACATATTCGCTGCCTTGTCATTGAACATTTGTGCTCGTTTTGATTAGCGAATTCAAATAAAGTATACAAACAAACAAACAATGTAGTGGAGGGGAGAGGAAACAGGGACCAGTGTCACTGGGCAGGAGGTAAAATTGAGAACAACGCGCACTCTTAGATAGAACTATGTTGAACTTATTGAGCGTTTCCTGGTATTTGTGGGTGAAATGGTAAAACGGTTTGATTGATTTTATTTGGATTCGTGAGACCAAACGAGCAGGAGTGCTCAATAACAGGGTAGCGAATGGTTGAGTTGTGCTATGTGACAATGTAGTGTGTGCGTGGGGTGGTGGTCGTGGGGGGGGGGGGTTAAGCTGCGGAGGCCCAATACAATGTAAGGGGATGGGAGGTTTGATATACATTGACAAACAATCTGCTGCGAGCAGAATAAGTAACTTTCAATTGTCGCTAATATACATTAACAAGTTGTTCACACGACGTACGTTTCGCCGTATGGTTCGTGACGGCTCATCAGGTGTGCAATTTGAAACTCGGATGTTGAGCCATAAATAAATGTAGAAGAGAATAGGACATATGGATACGAGTTAAGAGTAACTCTCCATCACTGTAACATTATTATACAGTCAGAAAGTGCAATAACTAGGCACAAAACTGACAGAGTACTGAGACATTCGACGTTCTGACACCTAGCTTCAACACATTTCCGTAGCGCTAACCGACAGCCTTCCAACTTGGAAGGTTCAAGGTCATGGAAAGACCAAAGAGGGGAAGGCAAGCGCAACGAAAACGAGCAAAAGCTACAGTCCCAACGGAACAAAGAATGTCGATTGTTACTGGACGATGACGAGACCAGTACGATATTTGACAAAGCGGTCTAACTTCAATTCGAAGCAGCAAAGCAGCACACCACCCAACTTGGGTGGGTCATAAATATCAAAGATAAGTAAAGAAAGGGAAGCTTTGCGAAAACGAATTGTACAAGCCGAAAGCCAAACTCCTACAGTACTCCTCATGCATGACATTGTGATGGACTAGTTGATTACAAAACAAGTTGTTCACACGACGTACGTCTCGCCGTATGGTTCGTGACGGCTCATTAGGTGTGCAATTTGAAACTCGGATGTTGAGCCATAAATAAATGTAGAAGAGAAAAGGACATATGGATACGAGTTAAGAGTAACTCTCCATCACTGTAACATGATATTATACAGTCAGAAAGTGCAATAACTAGGCACAAAACTGACAGAGTACTGAGACATTCGACGTTCTGACACCTAGCTTCAACACATCTCCGTAGCGCTAACCGACAGCCTTCCAACTTGGAAGGTTCAAGGTTATGGAAAGACCAAAGAGGGGAAGGCAAGCGCAACGAAAACGAGCAAAAGCTACAGTCCCAACGGAACAAAGAATGTCGATTGTTACTGGACGATGACGAGACCAGTACGATATTTGACAAAGCGGTCTAACTACAATTCGAAGCAGCAAAGCAGCACACCACCCAACTTGGGTGGGTCATAAATATCAAAGATAAGTAAAGAAAGGGAAGCTTTGCGAAAACGAATTGTACAAGCCGAAAGCCAAACTCCTACAGTACTCCTCATGTATGACATTGTGATGGACTAGTTGATTACAAAACAAGTTGTTCACACGACGTACGTTTCGCCGTATGGTTCGTGACGGCTCATCAGGTGTGCAATTTGAAACTCGGATGTTGAGCCATAAATAAATGAAGAAGAGAAAAGGACATATGGATACGAGTTAAGAGTAACTCTCCATCACTGTAACATGATATTATACAGTCAGAAAGTGCAATAACTAGGCACAAAACTGACAGAGTACTGAGACATTCGACGTTCTGACACCTAGCTTCAACACTTAGTTAGACCGCTTTGTCAAATATCGTACTGGTCTCGTCATCGTCCAGTAACAATCGACATTTTTTGTTCCGTTGGGACTGTAGCTTTTGCTCGTTTTCGTTGCGCTTGCCTTCCCCTCTTTGGTCTTTCCATAACCTTGAACCTTCCAAGTGGGAAGGCTATCGGTTAGCGCTACGGAGATGTGTTGAAGCTAGGTGTCAGAACGTCGAATGTCTCAGTACTCTGTCAGTTTTGTGCCTAGTTATTGCACTTTCTGACTGTATAATATCATGTTACAGTGATGGAGAGTTACTCTTAACTCGTATCCATATGTCCTTTTCTCTTCTACAATATACATTAAGATAAAGAAAAAATTCAACATCATCTCAAGATTGATAAATATTGTGGTAAAGACACACCTGGCAATATGGCGGTAAACAAACGCCTGCCCACACACGCTCTCTAGGCTGCAAAGTATTTACCAACCATAAGTACAGCTGCAGTGGTGTCTTCAACTTCATCATCTCAAGAGCTAGACGATAAAGCAGGGAGTCGTAAAATACCGGTAAAGCCTGGAAAAGAGACCATAGGTGACAAAACAAGACGTGGTAGACCAAATTTTTCGGAATTTTCGGAATGCGGCGGTATCTGATGTCGATGGGGGTACAGTGTGTAACATACTCTCGATATAACCAAGAGTACATAACCAAGAGTGTGCAACTGCCTGCACAACCTCTATGCTGTGCTGCGACGGCAGAACTTCACATCACGTGACATGGTTCAAAAGGTTATGCTGGCAAACAGTGCAAAGTGACCACAAGAGAGTTGTACCCAAAGCTGGGCTGCGTACAACCCAGTATCTATCATGCACTAGAGTGCACGGGTTCATCACGTGATGTGAAGTTCTGCCGCCGCAGACCCCATAGCTGGAGTTGCACACTCTTGGGTTATGTACTCTTGATATAACTGCTTTCTCCCACGATTTTATCGTACTGTTGTACGACATGCTATACGATATCCTTTAAAAAAATAAAAATAAACGAAGAACAGCCTCTTTTACGGGCAAAAGCAACACAGTATGATGAAAACCGTATACTGTACAACACCGTATATATATATATGCTCCAATTAACCCCCCAAGTACGGCATTTTGACATTTACATTGTATAAAACAATCTACATGCGAGCAGAATAAGTAATTTACAATTGTCCCTAATATAGATCAAGATGAACAAAAAGATTCAACATCATCGCAAGAGCTAGAGGAAATTCGACCTTGGAGTAAGGCCTGGATAAGGGACTATTGGTCCGTTTTTTACAAAGCCAATGGCCAGTTAAAACAACATGTGGTGGACCAGGTGTTTTCGGAATTTTCAAATTCCGGATCTGTGCCTCTAAATCCGGAAATCGCCGAAATCACCGACAAGAAACGTGAAGGAAAACAAAAAAAACCGGGACCATCCCAGACTAAACGTGGACAAGGAAAAAGAAACAAACCGCTCAAGAGCTGCACCAGCTCCAAAGAAAAGAAAAAGAAATAAAAACCTTTTTAAAACTATGGCATGGCTTACAATGGAGCGAATTAAAGTCTAGATGGATGAATGCATAGAGATTATTAACTCCAAATGTTCTACCATAAGGCCTGGGCGGATAATGCTAGTTATTTCGCGGGATAATGCTAATGGCAATGCCAGAAAAACTGTACCATAATGCTACTTATAAAGCTGCTGTTCCTCTGTAATGCCAAAAATTCACCTGTAGTAACTATGGAAAAATGGCTTGGTTGGCAGCATTGTGCAGCAGCACGTTTCGTAGTTCTACGTAGACGGCATGGAAAACGCCTATCTACAATCCACAAGTCACAGTTTGTACAACAGACTATGACTGGAAGTAAGGTCTTTGTATTAGTCAGCAGCATAGCATGCCGTGTAAACAACTGATGAATGGTAAATGACACACCACGACATCCATCAGAGATAGCTAGCATACTACAAAACTATTTTAATAATACCAAGAATAGTCTTATCTGAGCAATAACACAAGCAAATGTATGGGAGAAATGAACAAAGGAGAAAGGAAGGAAAGACAACGTGATAACACATAACAGCAGTACATTACACCTAGAACATTAACGGCCAAGCTTGGCCTCACTAAACACGACACGTTACTTGAACAATTTCAACCCAATTATACTATCTTTCTGTACACACAAATTAGGCTTGTACAGACGCTGATAGATAGCTTCCAACACTTTTAACTGTAGTCCATAACCATGACGACCACGGCACAATACAGTGAACGAAGAGTCGGAATACGCACCGCAACAATCAGGACTAGCCAGCAGATGATTGTACACTGAAGACTTGCTACCACGAAACCTTCGCACAACACTAACACTCTCACCGGCACTCTCACCATCACTCCCATCACTGCTCTCCGACTCACTGCTCCCTCCGCCGTCCGTTCCATCCTCCGCTTCCTCTGTACTCTGTATGGGAAGTAAACTAATACAATACAGCGCTAGTAGGTATTGGTACCGTACGTGTGTGTTGCCTCTTGCCTAGCACTTCTTTCTTCTCCTCTTCTTTTCCTTCCTCAGTTTTCGTCGGATCTGTCTGACATGAGGCTTCAAATGCCAAGGCAATAATACCGGATTTGTGACGAGCGACTCGGATGACTGGGATAAAATGAACACTTTCGCTACGGATATTTGTTTTTGCTGGGATACGATACGTACGTTCAAAGTGAGCGAGATCCTGGTAACACGAAGGACCATCAGGCCAGTCCTTTTGAGATTGTACAGGACGCTGTACAAGCCATACACTGGCGGTCTGTTCATACCAATACTGGATGGCACTAAACAGACAGTAGAACGCTCGGGACCCAGAGACTTTTCGTAATACTTGAAATGAAAGAAAAACTGGACAATAGCACGTACAGCTTCTTTCCGTCCTGCTCGGCAAACCGGCAGGAATTCACGCCTCGGATCACCTTCGAAATCCGGCAGAAACATTGTCACCGCTTCAACATCACTCTCGAATAACGGGGCACCCCAACAAAGTCTGCTCTCATCTGGTGCTTTTCGGTCTAGAGCCAAAACAGTCGTTGGATCTGCGAGATTACTGGAACGAAGCATAATATGATCGTAGCATACTTCACAGAATCTTCGCAGCTCTAGAAATGTGAGGCTCTCCTCGCGAGCAGGTAAATCCATGACGAACAAAGACCTTAGTTAACCCAAATATATCAGCACTTTCAACGACTACACATCAATTTGGTAAAGAGGAAACTGAATAACCAGACAAACTGTGACCTATCTTGCTAAAAACTATATTAATTTAAACCCCCATATCATTAAGGTGTATATCTATCTGTTTCGTCGACATGCCTGGCGGTATCCCGTACCTGTCCCGTACCGTACCA